GGCAGCAGGCTGCGCCCCCGGGGTGCGGACCCCCCCCCCGCCAGAGCCCTGCGCCGCTGACACCCACCCGAGCCCCCCGCGCTCGTCCTCCCTGGCCCCGCCACCGCCCCCCGCCGCGGGGTGTTTGGGCAGCGGCGTCCCTCCGCGGCAGGGCTGCCTCCCGCCCCCTCCCCCTGCTGCTCCCACTTTTCGTGGACCCCTGCGGCGCTGGGCTCACCGGAGCTGAAGGCGGCACCGCTTGGCCCCAGGCCCAGACACCGTACGCACGGCTGGACTCTGCATGCAGCCAAAACGTCCTGGCTCAACGTTGGCCGGGACAGGACACGTCCCCGCGAAGGGGTGAACGTCCCCGGGGCAGGCGGGAGGGCTGGGGAAAAACGTGCTGCCATGGTTGCATCACCCCGCCGAGGCCCCTGCGCGGGCCCGGGAGGGTTTGCTGTGGGGTTAGCAGGCTCCCGCGCCACCGAGCCTCGCACACCTGCACGCTCACCATCCTCCACGTTTAACCCTGCTGTGCCACAGCCAGGGCTGCAAAGGACCCCAGGACGTGGCCCCGGAAAGCCACCCACGGGACGATGCTGGCGGTTCCCAGCCCAAACCAAACACATCTCTGGGTCGCGAGCGCTTCGGGTTGGGGGTGGGAGAAGGTGGAGCCGAGGAGGAGCTTCCCCCGTCCCACCACTATATTACATGTCCTCCCGGACTCCCGCTCTCTTTGCCGCTGTCACATCGCCAGGTCACAAAAATGGTGAGGGGCAGCGGATGGGAATTAAATTTCTGGCTGGGGCTCGACGGCATGGGACATCTCGGGATTAAATGGGACATCTCGGCATCCTGGCGCTGCCCATTTACTGGGTTTAATCTCTGCTTGAATTCGGACTTTTCAGTGGCTGTGCTGGAAGTCGTGCAGAAGAGCTGTTCCTCATGCACTGACCTTTGGACTCGAGCTCTCTGGGGGCCGAGGTACCTTCCTGAACTGCTAACATCTCTCTTTTCTGATTCTCTCTTTTAGACGTCTTACACAGACAAGGGAGAAAAGGTAAGAGCCGTTTCGTGTCCACGGTCCTGCCCCATTGCCTGGTGTGAAAGACCAGCCCTGTTAAATGCAAATAATATTCATTCCTTACTCCTTGATTACCTGGTAAAATCAGAAGTAAACCGGCTCTCTGGCTGGGCCACACAGGACGTGGTTCCTTGTTGTAAATCACCACTAATGATGGCAATTTTTTCTTTTCCTTTTTCTTTCTGGTTTGGGAGGAGAGCGACAAATGGGAGACGATGGGTGTTTCCCAGCCAACCTCGATGCCTAAGCAGAATCCTCATTTGTCGCCACATTTATTTCCAAATGCTGCACCTATTCGCCACTTTTTTCCCCCATAAAGTGCTCCCAAAGCTGCCGGTGCACATCGCGGCCGGGCGCCCGACGCCGCAGGCTGGGCGGGATCGTGCCTGGCTCCAGCCAGCCCCAGCAGGATGGCGGTGGGGAACGGAGCAAAGGGGGATTTGTCCCGGCGCTGGAGGTTGTGTAAGAGTGTTTGAGGGGGGAGAATTAATCTTTAACGCAGCAAGGTTCGCGGGTGGGTGTCGTGCCCTGGCCGCGGTGCCCGGGCAGCCCCAGCGCCGGGGGGGGCCGCTTGCAGGGAGCACTGGGAACACTAGGACCAACGCGGCCCCAGGCGAGCCGGGGCTTTGCACCTTCCACCCCGCAGAGTGGGCTCCTGTGGCACCTGACTGTAAAAGCGCTTTGGAAAATGGCTGTTTCGGGGCAGCAGCTGGGGTTTCACCCAGTTCATTCGGATGCATTTGCAGGCGAGGCATTTGCAGGGTCACAGCTGCCGCTTCTCCCTGCTGCAGAGATGAGCAGCGCTGTGGAAAAGGCTGCAGCGGTGGCTCTCAGCTCTGTTTTCCCCTCCCCTTTAGCCCCTGCGAGGCCGCTTCATCCATTTCCATTCCATCACCTTCTGGGTCGGCAATGCCAAGCAGGTGAGAGGCTGTGGCCAGCCGTGGGGGGGCCCGCC